GCATTCGCCGTTTTTAAATTAATTGTATTAACTAAAAACGAGTGTCCTGATTGCAGGATAGTTTTCCTTTCTTAATGATATCATTTTGTAAGTATCTGGAAGAATATTGCCAATTTGTTGCCGCAATTTAACGATTGCACGAATTTCTGTTTGTAATTAAGTACCGTATTTCTACAGCTGTTCAAAACTACATAATTATGCCATTTCATGTCCGAATGACGTCACATTTAGATATAAGGTCACTTAAATATAATTAAATATGTTGTTGGAATCTATTGACAAACAGTAAATTATTATTATTATTTCTATTATAAATTATGAATAAATCAGAAGTACAACTTAGCTTCAATGACTGCGCCGGGTGCCTGTTACCATAGTTATTCAATATCACAGGAAACGCGCGTTCATCACAATAAATTAATAAACTTATGCATAAATTGTAGAAAACATTTTACGCTCCCTGTACATATGTAAATATTCTTAATTCAATGAAATATGAATATGAAAGACTCTTAATCCAATTACTTTTTGAACAACCTACAGGTAAAGATAGACGTGTACCAGTGACCTTGACGTTATTGACCAAATGACCTCAAAATCGTAAGAGGGCATAGACTAGTCCTTTGCAATATCTCAACTACGTTTACAAAATGTAGCCTAGTGATACATAGGAATAATTTACACTCAGTACCATTGTCGCTTTGATTTTTGACCTGAAGACCTTAAGGACGTTTTCGGGAGTTGTCATATAGATATATAGGCAAAATGAAAACTGTTCAATAGAATTTCTTTAAACTTGGCATGTTGTTAGAATATGATAACAGAAACATTTTAAGCGAAACAAACTTCGTTCAAACACCGTTCTCGTTTTTAAGTTATCTGCCCCTGAATCAGATTTTTCTACTGATCTGAGGTCATTTCAAGGGCAATTCACTTATACATACTTAAATGAATTCTTGTTTTTACTTCTGGATTATGTTTTTTTTCTTGTTGAGAATTATTTTTTTTCAATGAAAATAAAGGTACTTAAAATTCTTAAAAAAAGGCAAGTTTTAAAGAAAAAATGCACGGGTTAAAAGGTGAAAAAAACTATCCACTCTAAATTTGTTATTGAAATTTTGCATATCGACTACAACGAAGGTAAGCTTCATGAAAATAAGAAGAAAAAAACATTGTATTCAATGTTAATTATCTGCCCTTGAACTTAACGCAAAGTCTAATTCAAGGGCAGGTAACTCGAAAAATGAGAACGTTGACCCCAATTTTCTCCGTTTAAAATTTTTCTTTGAATTCTAACAACATGCCAAATTCTATAGAACAGTTTTAATTTTGCCTATATGTCTATATGAAAACTCCAGAAAACGTCCTTAAAATCAATAGGGGCCATCTGCTAGTCATGATCAGCCTACGAAGTCATATGACGTTATCTTTTTATCACGTTATCTTTTTATCGGTCGGACATGCTTTCAGTGTTCAATAAAAATTTCATAAATGACCATGACAATATTGTAAATCTATGATATTGTAAATTTTATCAGAAGTCAAACCGTCTGCGTTCTAAAAAACTTTCTAGAAAATGAAAGTAAGAGTTGTCGTTCTTTCGCGGTGACACGTACAATTAACAAGATTCCGTACATCGCCTGCCCTTAACCAATCAGAACGAAGAATTAATACCACATGATAACAAAATAACGACAAAAGACCTCAAAAAGGGGCGCCTACGGGGCACGCAAACCGCCATTTTATCGGGAATTGAAATACTATGAGAGAAGAAATCATGAGCTCTATTTTTATTGATCAGGCAGAAGTCTATTTCAGGAGAAAAAAATCTATTTTTTTTATTTTTCGAATACTCGGCTGAATAGATTCCTAGAATTTTGGAAATGCAAATATTTGTATCACTGTATGGGCCTTCGATGACGTCAATTCAGTCGGTACATCATGTGAACAACATGATCATTTTTATTGATGAGTACCACAGGTATTACACTACTATATGTTGTTTTATGACCGTTACGTTAGCTGTTGGTGTTGACATTAATTACAACGTTGATTGATGACGTACAATCCTAGATTGTTTGTTCAAATAAACATTGATATAGATATAGATATTATGTCGTGGTTTTCATGCTCAATTAGGCTGTTCTTATACTTTAATGCCATTCTGTTTTTTTACCGACAACATAAAGAAGAAATCACATTATTCTAGTTTCAACTTTAATAATCCTTCATCAGAAATGGAAATCAACAGTATACATGTGTGTAATATAAAGATACGTATTGGTTATACATGTATTACATAGAAATCAAGCTAGCTCATGTGCTTAAAACGTGTATTTCCTATTTACCAGGCTTTTTATTGATAGAACATTTCAATTTCGTGAAAAGTAGAGTTTACAAGAAAGAAAAGTGTTAACGGTTACAGATTTAAATTTCTTGCACATCAGACTGGCGTTTCCGTGAGTTTTACCCATGCCGGAAATTTCATCTGGCATGGGGGGAGGGGGGGGGGGCTCCAGATAAGTCACGTGCTGTACGTACAATGGCACGGTTAAGATGACGTCATTTTACCGTTATGAAAAGTTGTGATTCATACGCTGTTGTAAGAAAGTAGTTACGCTTGTAATTATATAAATTTTCATTAAAAATAAAGATAAAGAAATTGAAATATAATGGAATATGGTAAAATATGCAAGAAAAAATATCTGACATGTTTGCGGTTCGGATCGGAATATCCGTCCCTCGGTCATCCGCCCATGGGCGGGTCACCTCGGCACGGATATTCCATCCGAACCGCAAAATATGACAGATATTATTAATAAGTCAGCAGATTAATTGACCAATGGGCCATTTCTTCTTCTTTTTTTTTCATTATATGAACGAACATTAGTTTAAGTATGTGTATTGATAGGGATGATTTTGATAAATGAGGAACCCACAAAACGCCATATATTCGCAATTTGAATGCATATTCATATTCGCTTTCACGGATAGTTGTTCGTGGAAAATCTTGATCAGTATGATGAACAGCGAATGACGTATATTGTATTTGGGTTTTTTGATTGTTTATATATGTATACCACGCGGGTTATGAAATATATGTGAAAGATAAAAATCACTTCTTGTGTGAATATTTATAAGTTGGTCATGCCTTAGATATAGTCATAATGTGGTAACATATCTTTGTATTGGTTGTCACGAATCAGTTTTTAATTAGTGATTTATTAGTTTCTTTTTAAGAGAAGAAGGTCGTGTGAACAAGGTGGCCACAGAAACGTGCGACTCTAAATATTATATTTTATATCTTATATTTCAATAATAAGCTTTTTTTAAAGACTTATTTATTATTGTACTTGGCAAATTGTCATTAGTACGTAAATTGTCGTCGGGTAAATATGTTCATGGGACATAGCTCGGCTTAAATATTCCGATTAAACTAAAATAAGCGCACATCAAAGTTAGTCCTTAAAGTTTCACTGGAATCCAAACAACAGCTACAGCAACAACAACAAACAACAACAAAAAAGCAACAATAACAACAAACGCACACGCAATTTAGCGCGCTCAAAAGAATAGGTAAAGATTAAGGAAGAAATGAATTTATACACGAACAAACACATTAACAATCAATCAATCAGACAAACAACCAACCAACCAATCAGACAAATAAACAAATGAACAAACAAAAAACGCAGACAAACACACAAACAAGCAATAGATCAAACAAACAAACTTGCAAACAGACACTTTGATTATTATGCATTAACTCGTCACTATTCATATTCATGGCATATGACAAACTTTACTTTAAACTAGACGAAATAATATGATGTCAATCATTATACATTTATTTGTAAAAATCATGACTTCAATCATTCTTTATTTGATAAACAAAAATTAGTAACACAGATTAAATTTCAATTACTTCTATGTAAGATAAATTAAATAATGCAAATTTAAAATACTTGTTAATCAATGTAAAAATGGTGCATGTTATCAAGGTAATACAAATTTCATTGTCACTACCAGCCACTTATAAAATCAACTCGTAATTAAAAATCTATAAGCTCTAAGAGCCTCATATTGTTATACCTCTTTGTAGATGAGCTCGAGGAAAATCAAACCAGAATCAATGTATTTCACCTCACCTCTATCTCCTTCCCAACTTTCCCCCATGAACAGAACACCATTTTGTAAACATAGATTAATGCCAACACGATTTGAAGTAACTAGTAGAAGGAACCAATAGCATAATTCAATAGCAAGTAGTAACCAGTAGAGGGAGCCTATATATAGAAGAATTCAATAGCATGAAGGAACCAGTAGATATAACCAATAGCAGAATTCAATAGCAGGAAGGAACCAGTAAAAGGAACAAACAGCAGAAACAAATAGGAGGAATGAACCAGTAATAGGAAGCAATAGCAGGAACATTAAGCGTTTACCAATGCATTTAAAATTATATTTATTGTTTCTTTATTTGTGATTGTGACAACAAATTTTGTTCTTTGTCATTAAGACGTATACTTTAGGTTTGTGAGCTGAAATTGATTTGCTAAAATAGTTTCACAGTGAGTCTTGCACAAAAAAGGCGAAAACAAGTTAGCAGCAAAACGTAATGTCACTGAAATCTATTACCCTGCTTGGAAACTGTTAATGTTGATTTTTCATGGTTTCTAAAGCATTTTTTTGTCATTCAAGTTGGGGTGTGTGAAGAGAGAGAGAGAGAGAGAGAGAGAGAGAGAGAGAGAGAGAGAGAGAGTGTGTGTGTGTGGGGGGGGGGGCGGTCCCTCCACAATTATACAGTTGCTGTACATTATAATTAATATCTAGGTTAGATCCTGTCTACAAAGCCATGCACCACTTCATAATAAATATTTTAAACAACGGTTTGTCATCACATTTGAATATCTAAATTAGATGATTATTCTATATACACTGTACTTTATCAACAATATACACTATCAGTTTAGATAAATTAAGAAAATAAGTTTCCTAACCGTGATTCAGCCATGCTGCAGGTAACTCCAATAAATTAATATTATTCTATTTTCCCACTGTTTTCAGGTACAACTTAAGTCCATGACAATGATATTACTATCTGCGTTATCAGGTCACCGTGGTAAAGTGAACGTAGAAACACGTTACGTTGACGCGCCGGTAGAATATATGAAGTTAATTCCGCATCGACAGTCAGTGTTTTATTTTGATGTAAATGACTGACTGGTACATTGTGATAAATGGGTCGATGACTGGTACATAACTCATAATCTGTCAACATTACGTTTACATTTTAGATACGTATTTAATGGCTAGAAAAAAGGTGGCAAATTTCTACAGCGCATGACACTGCTGGATTATATGCATGCAGCTTTAACCCAATTTAACCCGGTGGAACAGACAGTAACCAGGGTCCTAGGTTAAAAAAGAAATTTTACCAGTTCAAGCACACATCTCAGGTACATGTATTTGATTGGTTAAAACCGGCACTGAATATGCACTGACCGATGCAAATCCTAAAATCAGACAAATTTCATAAAAAATGATTACCTTGAGGCCAGGATTTATACTATTTTTATCCCTTTTATTGTATCTTGATAATGAAATCCAAACCTTTGAATAGACTGTTTATTTAAAGCAGTATACCTCCTGATTCATGCTAATTTTCATGATTTAAAAAATGTAACTAAAAGGAAAATATTGTATGTCAGGGAAGAAAGTAATATATACAATCAACGTAAATTACAAAAGGAACAGGATAAGCAAAATTAGTCACGTAGTAGAAATACAGTGATATATTTTGATATATACTGCAAAATCAGTCATGAATCGCATAAAAAATCATGTAATTTATTATTTTCCTGAATCCTGAATCTTTTTTCGACCTTGCAGTACGTACATGGTGCCACTAATATGTTGGCTTAGTTCATTGAATACAGATGCACTCGGTGCCTTCATACAAATACAGTCACACCTGTCTTACAAATCACCTCTAAATAAAGATTACCCTACAAAAAAACCAAACTTTTTTTTATAACCCTTTATTGATAATATAAAATGAAGTAACCTCCAAATACAGACCACTTGTGTTATAAAGACCATTATTTGCCTCTCCATTTGTTGGCTTTTGATCACAGGTTTTACTGTACGTATTTCTTTCTATCTGTCTAAAATGCATACTGCCGATTGTCGTGTAATAATTGTCTAATCATTAATTGCGGAAATACATTTATATAATAGAAAACAACATGCCTTAACCATTATGACAACTGCATTATGACCGACTTAGTAACACGCCTACTAAACGGTGGCTCTTTCACATTTTGGTGATCTGTTCAAATGAGAGCAATCGACACTTCCGTTGCAGAACCTTCGATGAAAACAAGGCTGAAAAAGGTAAGAAATTTTAGTAAAAATATCCATTTAAAAAGATCATGCTTGTTTTTTTAAATATCGAAGAATGTCATGCCACGTAGAAATTGATATTTTTACTAAAATTTCTTACCTTTTTTCAGCCTTGTTTTCATCGAGGGCTCTGCAACGGAAGTGTCGATGGCTCTCATTTGAACAGATCACCAAAATGTGAAAGAGCCACCGTTTAGTAGGCGTGTAGTAATATTAGAGAGCATCAAAACACGAGGTTATCTGATTCATACAAGGGGGTGTAGTTCCTCTTTTGTATCATAGGCAAAATAGAATCAGTTTCACTGTCGTCCAGAATAAATGAACCAATGAAGAGCACTCAAATTAATTTTTTCTTTCATTTAATCTGGGACATAAGATAAGTTATCTAATTACCACATTTCAATCTTTGGGATTTAAATAGAGCATGCTCGCTGATTGGCTCATTTTTACTCGGGTTTACATATTGTGACGACAGAGACACGGGGGAGGAACTGTTACACGAGGGATGGAGTTCTTATGATAACTTGTCGAGTTCTTGTGATAACTGTCACGGAGTTCGTCGGAAAACTTTTGTATATACATGTACTCATGGAGCTAAATATAAGATCTGTGATATACTTCAAAAACAGTCGTCAAAAATGGTAATTTTCATCTTTAAAAAGCAAGTTTTAGGTGTTAAATTAAAATTTAATGATTAAGCTTGTCTTACATCTTGTATTATGTGTCAAAAACTAATTCATAGGCAAGTTTTCATCGCCTCTTCTTCAAAGTTTGATAGTTTTGAGTAAAATTTCCAAATTATTTGCCAATTCGCACTTATTAACTGCATATTTGTAACTGAAATAGTGCATGTGTAAAAACATTACTGGTTGTTATTGCTAACGGAAAACTACAGTTCCAAAAGTTGTGTACATATAAGGACAATCAATGACCACCGGACCCGGCCATTTTTATTTGAACAAACTTGATAGGTGCCCATTAGAAGATGTTTCATGCCAAATATCTAAGCTCTAGTTCTTTGGATTTTTTATAAGAATTTTTTTCTAAGTTTTTTTTCTTTTGGTTGCCATGGCAACTAGAGTCTTGCATGGGAACAGTTTTTAATGGTGACTACCAAAGGATTATTCATGTGAAGTTTGGATGAAAGTGGCTTAGCAGTTTATGAGGAGATGTTTAAAGTAAAAGTTACTGAAATACACCGGACAAATGTGACAGGTAAGCTAAAAATATTTCAAACTAGGGTAAGTGTGGGGACAGAGGCAAGTCAAAGACTTCACTCTTCACCTTTGAAATTCCTTAGGGCCGAGAACTATGTGACTAATGACTTGTGCAAAACTTCCACATGAAGACAACAAATTCCATCTTTATCTCAATAAAAACATCTTTATCTCAATAATAACATCTTTATCTCAATAAAAACATCTTTATCTCAATAATAACATCTTTATCTCAATAAAAACATCTTTATCTCAATAAAAACATCTTTATCTCAATAATAACATCTTTATCTCAATAAAAACATCTTTATCTCAATAATAACATCTTTATCTCAATAAAAACATCTTTATCTCAATAAAAACATCTTTATCTCAATAATAACATCTTTATCTCAATAAAAGGCCTAACAAAAGTCATGTTTTCTAGTATTTTATTTTCATATTTTTTCTGTACATATTCAGTGTAAAATATGTGAACAAAATTTCAAAATTACAAATATAAGAACTTAACAATTATAATTTACAATACTCAAATAGTTTTCAAAACAAACCGTTTGCTAAATATCCATGCTAACTTTAAAACATACTTGAACAATTTAAACAACCTTGCTGTCAAATCATGCAAATATCAAAGAAACATACTGTATTCTATTCTTAGCAACAAAACAAAAAGACAAAGAAAGCTAAGTAAATATTTGTAGCCCAAAAAAAAAATCACAAGACAATTCGACCAGTCTGGGTGTATTTTTTGATATCAATCAATTTTTTATGACTGCAAGAGATATATATTTTCCATCAATAAGCAATATGGTTTGGCCATACTTTTAGAATTACAAAGCAGTGCAAATGATTAACTAATTTGAGATTGGATTCACATAAAAATAAAATGATTGTATGTATCAACTTAAAAAAAAAACCAACATGTAAAATGGTTTTATAACCTAAAGTTACAGCAGTGTTATTAACTCAATTTAACTAGTTGGCAGAGATGCAAAAGTAACTCTCTGGTTCTCCAGAAAATGTGGTTTTTCCCACATTAAATCCCAAGTTATAAAAAATCTTTTACAGTCACAATTTTGTTAAAATGCATCATACATTAAGGTTTTCTGGTGTGGACCATGAAAAATAAGAAAAAAAAAAAGATTTTGCCTTCATGTATTAAGGCTTTACTGACATGGACCATGAAAAATAAAAATTGCAGTCATGCATTTGGGCTTGTTCCCTATTCAAAGACCATGATATGAATTCAACCATTTAAGTGCATGAGTAGATAAAATAAGACCAAAAAGTGGCGACATAGCTGTAGTGGTTACGCAATCAAGGACTTTTTAACGACATTAGTTCAACTCTCGCCAGGCCTAAGCTATTGTTTCCTTGAGCATTACATTTTGGATAACTAATTTTCTAAATATACATGATTATTTAACAAAATTATGAATAAAGAGACATAAAAAGATTAAACATAATGTAAAAAAGACACTTTTTGACATATTCAATTTTTAACTATGTTTATGACTTAAGATGATTTATGATGACCAAATACCGTAAAATCAGAAATTATTTCCAAAGGATTTGAGTTTGCTCAGTTTGTGAATTTGAAGTTATTAAAATATGTTGATGTTTATTAAGTATTTACCATATAAATTAATAACAGAAACGATAGATAAAATAATCAAAAATGATTCCGAAACTTTGTTTTTGCTAAAAGTTGGCCTCGCAAAAATATCTTATTTCACAATAATTGCTTTTTGTTTCATACTAAAAAGTTGCTACATGTACTTCTCAACTTGTCTTTTAAAATTTCAATAAATGCAGATTTTGATGACTTTGATGACAAAATAAAATGCTGATGATAATGGTGATGATGATAATGATGATGATGAAAATGGTGGTGATAATAGTAAAGATAATGGTGAAAAATGGCAAAATTAAAAGCTAAAAAATCAAGGACTAAATCATTTTAACAATCAGCTTGTGCCATCAATTACATATTCTATATCAAATGAATGCAGCCATCAGAATACACAAAATCCCTTTACAACACTCCAAGCCTTTAAAAAAAAAAATTATAGGAAATAAAAAAAAAAATTCAAGCCAAAATGCAGGATTCCTACAGGAATTTTTCACATTTGGTGGTACTGCGAATGTAGCAATAAAATTCTTGTCAGATTACTATTATATAACAATTTAATGTGTCTAGACAACCTTTTCTGCAAACAAAATATAGCAAATAATTTTAAAACATAGGGAAATATATAAGAATATAAGAAGTGTTTCAGTAATATATCAATTTATTTTAATTACAGAAAATATTCATGGCATTTGCCTTATCAATGGCAGTGAAATTTGCCTATATAGAGCCAGTCTGACTTGAGAGTTGTTCAAATAATGTTTGTTTGTGTATTTTGTTTTAGCACTCGATTTAAACACAGTTTTGATAATATCCTTGCTAACAAAATCAAGATAATTATGATGTTTTAACATATACAGTTAAACTATTTTAAAGACCATCTGCAATTAAGGATAACCCTGTAAATAAAGACCACTCTTCAACAACCATTCATTATATAGAAGGGAATAACCTCCAAATAAAGACCATTTGTCTATAAAG